ACAAGAAGGCATCAATCACATCATGCCATTTTCGACACTGGAAAAGAACTATTACTCAGAATATGCGACAAAAGAGGCATCGGTGGTGTCGGTGTCCTTGTCAACACAAACTTGACCATAAGCATTGATTAATTTGAATGCCTAACAACCCAGTACCAACTGATATTTAAAAGATTTTAAAAGGCTGCAGTGCAAGCAAAACCCATTTGTGAGTTTAGCCTGCTTGAATCTCAAGCAGTTAAAAACAAATCACCTTTGGGGGTTTCAGAGTTAGTTTCTGTTCTTGGCACCTGCACATACTCGGACACACCGGAGAAGGCTATGAAGCATCTCACTGCATCCATGCCTCTCTCCTGGTCTCCAGTGAAGAAGAAGGAACCAGCTAGAGAAGCCTTTCCTAAGCTGGTATCTTTTCAAACCACAGACTCAGAGGAGGGTGGAGGGTTCAAGCCATCAGAGCTCCCAACAAGAAACTAGGCTGAACACGCGATCCCCCCCGCCTTTTTTATTGAATCACCATGAGATACAGTTACAAAGCTTTCATGTTTGAGTTTCAGTCATACAATCATCAAACACCCATCCCTCCACCAGTGCACATTCTCCACCACCAATGTCCCCAGTATACCCCCCCCCCACCTCCGCTGCCCTTTCCAACCCTCCCCCTACCTCCATGGCAGACAATTTCCCCCATACTCTCTCTCTACTTTTGGGCATTATGGTTTGCAATACAGATACTGAGAGGCCATCATGTTTGGTCCTTTATCTACTTTCAGCACACATTTCCCATCCCGAGCGATCCCTCCAACCATCATTGACTTAGTGATCCCTTCTCTATTCCAGCTGCCTTGTTCCCCAGCTCATGAAGTAGGCTTACAACTTTAGAGAAATATTCCTGGCCCTTGTGTCTTCTGTCCTTGGGGAACATGAGACCCTTGTCTGGGACTCTGAAGCCAATGGCCCCATGATTCCAGATCTCGTTGAGACTCAAACCCAATGGGTTTGAACAGAATCCAAACATGCAGTACCTGAGCCCAGAGGCTTTGTCAGGGTTCACTCTGGTCCAGAAAACTCCTTTTCCTTCTTCCCAACCTTTAGTCCATGGACACCCATCTTAGAGCAGCTAGAAGTGCAAAAGCTCAGAAGTGACTGCGGACCCCAAAAGCTTCTGGCCGGGGATGGAGCTCAGTGGGAGAGCACTGGTTCAACATGTCTGAGGCCCCATTCTGACCCCTGCATACCGCTGACCCTGACTCAATCTCCCACACTGCCTGTGGTCCCCTGACCATCTCAGTTTGATCTCCTATACTGCACACAACCCCTACAAGCACTGAGCACTGCAGGATGTGGCCTAACCCAGGCCCCCAAGAAGAATCAGAATAAAATTAAGAACAAAAGAATAAGGGAAGAGCGGAAGAGGGAGAAGCAAGAAGGCAGGAGAGGGAGTGGAGGGGTTGAGGAGACGGGATTGACTTTGAGATAAGTTGTGCATTTTGATTGAATTTTTTACTTTGTTTGGGAGTTTTTTGGGGGGTGTCAGGGCCACACCCGATGGTGCACAGGGCTTACTCCTGACTGTGTTTAGGGACCACTCTTGGCAGTGCTCAGGGGACCATATGTGGTGCTGGGGATGGAACCAGAGTCGGCTGCAGGCAAGGCAAGTGCCCAACCCTCCTTATGAGCTTTCTAATCCCTGGATGGAATTTTAAATTTTCTTTCTTAAAGTTTTCTCTGACACACTCTCCTTTTAGATCTTCTTGGGACTCACGCATCTCCCAGATGCGACGGTTGTATTAAACGCAAGACCTGTGCCAAAGGACCTTGACTTAGTGCCAGGGTCCCCCCAAGCAGCAGAAGGTAAGTGCACACCCACCCCCGGCACCCAGGAAATGCCCCAAGTGCTAACTCCCCACACCCAGGAGTGACTACGGGGATGGGGGGAATCTTGGGCGGAGATGGCAGGGCCCGTGTGAGGTGCCCTAGCCACACCCCCAACTTCCCCATGGCCCTTCCCCTTCTCCCCACCACCCCTGTTCTGTGCACCAATAGCTCCTGCGCGAGCCCCTTCCTGTCTCTTGGACGGGCATGTTACTTCACCGCATGCCCCTCTTGTTGCAATATCCAGGCAACAGCTTGGTGTGGACAGGGGAGCTGCTGTTGAAGGGAAGTGATGACTCTGGGTGCACCCAGGGGCTGGAACTGCCACCTCACCACCACTCCTGAGGAGGGGGGGGCGGGGCGGCAGCCCCTGCTGCAGGTTTCCAAATGGATTTCCCCTGGGAGGAAACTGAGCTCAGGCTACTGAGCCTCCAGAGGCTGGTTTGGCCTGACTGGATCTGGGGACAGGTGACGCAGGGCAGGCCTGGGGGAACGGGGTGGGGGGGAAGCTGGACAGACACCCCCAGGCATCCCATCCTACCCTCTCCCGTTCAGTGTGGGCTGAGACCTGAGAGCCCTTGGCCCTTTGACTGAACTCTCTGCTCCTCCCCAGATAGCTGCAGGTAATTAACGGTCACTTCACTCTTGGACAGGTTTGCACAGGGGACCCCAGATAAATTATAAACAGGAAAATCTTACAAGAAAGTAGAGGAGTATGGAAACAGGACTTGTGGTACATGTATGTGTCCATACTCACACATACACATACACTCACACAATTCATACACATACACACAAAGGCACACAAGCATGTACACATGCATGCACACTTACATAGATACACGCACAGATACATGCATACTCATGCACTCACATGCACACATAGACACAGGCACCAATGCTCATATGCATATCTATATTTGTATTTGCATGAATACACAAATTAAGAATAACTTGCAAAATATATCTCAAAATGAGTCAGTCCCTTCTCTCCCTCCACTCTCACTCTTGCCCTCTTTCTTACTTCTCCTTCTGCTTTTTTAAATTCTTTTATTCTTAATTTCATTCTTAATTTGTGTCTGCAAGCACATTAATACAACATTTACAACACAGGCACATTTGCACACATGCATGTGTACACATGTACACGTGCTTGCGTGCACACACACACATACACATATACACACACGTTCCCTCCTTACAAAGCTGCTGGGTGGACCCTGTTCTCACTTCCCCGGAAGCTTTCAGAAATACAGAGATATTTCTTTCCTCACTGTGTTTGTTTTTACTGGAAAGATTTCAACCACTAGACGTTGGTTTCTTCTGTTACTTCACCTTCACGAAAACACAGACCACAGAAAATGTAAACGGACTCAATGCTAGACCAAAAGCCACTGTGAGGGGGTGCTTGGGCCCCTTTTGTCTCTGGGGACCTTCAGTTGAAAAGGAAGTTCTGATGGTTTCATTCATATGTAGGATATGAGTTCCTAAGCAAGTGAACTGGTTTAAAAAAAAAAACCCTAGCTCCAAGACCCAGTGGAAACCATCACTGACTGGAGGGAAGGGGCTTGTGGTGGGAGGGAAAAGCAGAGGGTCTTTGTGGTAGTGAAAAGGTACAACAACTTTGGTGGTGGAAGTGGTACTGTCCATCACACACAGGTTGGGATAGGAAGCAAAGCCCCTAACATTCCATTACCTTGGAGACCAATGCAAAGTCAACAAGATAATCAAATAACAGAAGAGCTTTCTCCTGACTGCACAGTTGGGCCCGCACTGAATAATGAATGCTTACGAGGAAATGAATGAATGAATGAATGAAGGGGAGGGTCAAAGTCCTGAGAGTTTTCTGGAAGAAAACTGCCATGACCCAGGTTGGTTCACCGGGTCACCCTGAAGAAGACCTGTATGAACAAGCCCTAGAGCTTCTCCGTGCCAGCTCTCAGCCCGAGCATGAGAATGAAGGAAGCACATTCGATTTTGATGTTATAGGGATGGTGATACAGCTGTCATCTGTATGAATGTTCCTGTCTAGTTGCTGGATGACATGGAAAAACCCTGTAATAGTCGCCAGCATATTCCAGCCCCTTGGTAGATTTGGGGTTTGAAAAACCAATAGGCTGAAATACACATAAGAATCTCAGAACCAAGTAGCTCGCTGCAGAGATGCCTCCGGACTTTGCACCAGGCTGATTTCACTGGGATGCCTCAGATGGGGGCAGGCATTGGCCTGCCCCCTAGGAATCCTGGCGGCTGCTATCTTCCAGAACCCAATGTAAAGCGCAAGTATTCGGGATTAGTGACAGCAAACTCCAGTCTTCATGGGATAGGGGATGGGCTGGTCCTCCCGATCTCCCGCCCCTTTGGGACCCTGGATATCGCGTCCATGAGCTGCCTCCGGTGACTATTTAAGCCCATTAACAGCCATGATCCAGAGACACACAAAAGAATATCGGAACTGAGCAGCCCACTGCAGAGATTTCTCCAAAACCCTATCTAAAGTTTTAGATTTCTAGGCATGTGTGGCTGCAACAGGCAATACAAATAAATTATCTAGCATATGCCTGTTTGGCAGGTTCGAGTGGTGGTGGGAAATGCAAAAATAATGGTGGTGGGGCCCACCACATCGTGTTATCACCACTGAGCATCGGAATAAATTGTTTCAAACTCATTTAACTGATGTTTCTTTCACATTATCCCACAAGAGTCCCGTTATCATGAACTTGAGCAAAACTGCATATCTACTACCAAAAAAAAAAAAACCAAAATCAAAACCAAAAACCATCTAATATACCTGAACAACAATTTTCTAGGCAATCATAAATCTTCAGTAAATATCAACACTAGTTCTGTTTTGCATTACTGAATTTGAAATTTCTGTGTCATTGGCATCATCTATCTTATTGCCAGTGTTTGGTTCAACAGGGACTGTCATCAATTGGGAAAAAAAAGAGAGAGAGAAAAGGCTCTTTTCTACATCATGACCACACAATCCAGATGTTGGGGCCTGGAAGAAGCATTTCTCATCATGTTTCCAACCCTTTGGAACAAGTGGATTAGCTCAGCCAGGAGTCATACCGTGGGGTGTGGGTGGGAGTGGGGATGGGGATGGGAGTCGGGGCCTCTACCTGATGTCGTCTTCTGTCCCAACTCAAGGCAGTGAGGCTCTTCTTGGGATCCCTCCGCTTCCTGAGTTCCAGTCAGATAAATGAGACAAATAGGGGGAGAGAGAGTAAAAATAATCCATTTATTGGCAGCCAATACTTGTTGCCAACCCATTCACTGATATAAGACCAGGACTTGAATTAAACCAAGCCCTTAAGAAAGGAGGCTTTATCCAGGCAACCTAGGGAGGCGGATGGGTCAAGTTCCTGCCCTATCAAAGCCCCAGCAGTCACACTCACATCCCAGGGCCACTGCCATGCTCTCAGCCACGTGGCCCAGTTAAATATTCTGGATTTTCTGGAGTGCAGGTGGTGTCATCTCCAAACATGATGGTGCTAACATCCTTGTAGGAGCACACCAGATTTATGGGAATGTAATGTAGAAAACAACTAATCTCAACCAACAAAAACATTCACACCAAAGGCTTCCCTTGCAACTTAGTAAACCCTCAGACAAAGATTGAATGTCCCCATGGTGAGATACATCAATTTTCACGAATTTTCTTTGACTGATGTATGTTTTTGAAATCATTTCGTTAACCCTTTAGTGGTAACAAGCAATATAAAATAGGTTATTGTGGTTCTGCTGCGAGGCAGGTTTGAGGGATGGTTGGGAAAATGGGTACCATGGTGGGGAAAGGAGACAGTGGTGATGGGGTTGAGCTTGGAATATTGAACACCTGTAGTAACAAATAATTATGAATGATTTTGTAAACCATAGTGTTTAAATAAGGTGTGTGGGGTGGGGGAAGAAAGGAGGCTTTGGGCCAATGGCTAAGTCCACAATAGTGTGTACATGAGGTAGCATCACCGTGGGGGTGCGGGTCACAAATCCAGGGTGCCACCACAGTAGAAGAAGTAGACGTAAAACTGCTGCCTCGCGCCCCCACCAACCAGTACCACCCAGAGGCTTCCCTACATCCTAAGATGCTTCAGTGATGATCATTTAGGTGCGTAGCTTCCTCTGAAAGGTACAATTCTGTCAGCATTGCGGAACAAGAGAATGACATTTTTATTTTTATTTTCTGATTTTTACTGTCCCTGTAGGCAGCATGTGCTAATGTGTATGGTTTTGACATGCACAGTCACTGCACCTTATCACCACTGAGTGGCCCAAGATCCTCCACCGCTGTCTTCTGTCATTTCTAGTCCAGCTCTCTCTCCTCCCCTCAACCTCCTCTCACTGCTCCATCAGCTCAGCCTTGTAATCCAAGGCTCGTGGTCATCCTGTGTTCTGTCTGCCTCTTTGTTTTCTCTCTCTCTCTTTCTCTCTCTTTCTCTCTCTCTCTATCTCTCTCTCTCTCTCTCTCTCTCTCTCTCATTTGCTCTCTTGCTCTCTAGTCCACAGGTGAGTGAGATCACCCAGTATTCATTCTCCTGTCTCTGACTAATTTTGCTTAACACGATCTCCTTTAGTTCCATCCAAGTTTTGGCAAACCACAATATTCCATCTCTTCTTACAACTTTATAGTCAGAGAATTACATTTTGTTTGTTTTGTTTTCTGGGGTTTTTTTGTTTGTTTGTTTTGTTTTTTGTTTGTTTTGCTTTCAGGCCACAGCTGGTGATGCTCAGGGGTTACTCCTAGCTCTACAGTTAGGAATAGTTCTTGGCAGTACACAGGGGACTATATGGAATGCTGGGGATCAAACCTGGGCCGGCCACCTGGAGGCAAGTGTGCCCTACCCATCATATTATCACACTGGTCTCACGTTTTATTTCTTCATAAATTTTAAGAAGTTGGCTTCACACTCTGGAAAGATCTTTCAGAGTTTAGTTATGTCAAGTCCAGAAGACATTGTTCTCCTAATGCTGTTCTTATATGCTATCACCTCCTAGGAGCAAGGATCAACAGTTACTCCAATTCTTTTCTAATTTTGTCCACAAAATGATTTCTACTTATTCATTAGTAGTGAATACAATATTAGTGATGTGTTGAGTGGCTGTGCGGTTTCAGATATCCAGTAAGGACTGTTGTGATGTTCCTTGAATGAAACCGGCTGCCTGGTCAGCTGCATCCTTTCCATGAAGCCTTTGCTCTTCCCAAGAGGTGAGCCCAATAGAACCTGACTAAAGCATCATAAACAAGGTTTGGAATTCCACACAGGAGGCATCACTGGAGCCAGAGTATAAAATTATCCATCACCAGAGTGCTTTCCCATCTGTTATTGTTATTATTATTATTAATATTATTATTATAGGGCGTTTGCCTTACAAGCGGCCAACATGGCCAACCCAAGTTCAATTCCTCCACCCCTCTCGGAGAGCCCAGCAAGCTACCTAGAGTATCTCGCCCGCATGGCAGAGCCTGGCAAGCTACCTGTGACATATTCGATGTGCCAAACACAGTAACAAGTCTCATGATGGAGACGTTACTGGTCCCGCTCGAGCAAATCGATGAACAACGGGAGGACCGTGACCGTGATTATTATTATTATTGCTTTTGGGGTCACACCCAGCAATGCTCAGGGGTTACTCCTGTCTCTGCAATCAGAACTTACTCCTGGCAGTGCTCAGGAGACCATATGGGATGCTGGGATCAAACCCAGGTTGGCTGTGTGCAAGACAAACGCCCTCCCCACTGTACTATCGCTCTGCCCCTCCTCCCACATCTGTTCCAAGTTGGCAGTTTCTAGATGATAACACATCTGATCCAACAGGTCTTCAAGCTAGCTTAGCAAAAGAAAGAAATGTCTCCTTTCAAATTCTGGAAGACAAGTTTCATTCAGTCACCATCAGGATCAACTTTTTTTTTCCTTTTTGGGTCACATCTGGTGATGCACAGGGGTTACTCCTGGCTTTACATTCAGGAATTACTCTAGGCAGTGCTTGAGGAACCATATGGCATGCTGGGAATCAAACCCGGATCAGCAGCTGCATGAAAGGCAAATGCCCTACCCACTGTACTATTACTCCAGCCCCAGGATCAACTCTTAAGGCAACTGATTTCACCCATGTTGGGAACAAATGTTTTTCAAAGATCAAAAAATTTTCAAATATTTATTGCCAGAAACCAGTTCCGAAGTTCTGCCTTCCTTCCAGGAAATGGAATTGGCATGGACAGTTTGGATAAATGATCTCAAATTTAAATGATAAGAAATTGGAATGAAAAATCACTTATAGAATAACATTTCAGAAAAGTCTGTGAATTCATTGAACTTGCTGAAGGACACAAATTCGTGATGAGCTTATCACATAGCAATTCAATGCAGCAAATCATTTCTGGTTTTACAAGAGCCAACAGGACACTATATAATGAACACACGAGACATGGGTTTATAATAGAGCCACAGGGAAAAATCTCAAGATGCCAAAATAACTCAAAATTATTTCATAGATGAAAGGAGACTCCTTCTCAGCCAATAAGACTGTTTATCCTTTTATTGCTTTGGATTCCAGAATTATGAAATAACCTAACCCTTTAGTTTTTCTTGAAACATATTTATGACTATATTTCAAATTGCATCTCCCCAGATTTTCCCATTAACTAGTACAAAAAAAAATGCCAAGCCTGGAAAGATCTGCAGATGGAAGGATATTTGGAATCCCTTTTAGCTGAGAGCGCTCAGCATTGAATAAACAAGCATCTGTCTTCCATAGCATAAACTCTCTTCTATTTTGAGAAAAGGGGCTGAGATCCTTCCATGTTTATATTCCTTCTCTTCAGCTCAAGTTTGTGGTTTGCTGAAGTTGTTCTAATTTTTTCCCAGCACCACTAGTGTGGAATGAGAATAGTACAAGTGGAGTAGACATCTGTTGATTTGGCTGCCTGACTTTCACTACTAATCTACTAAGGGCAGCCTGCCTTCCTCTTTAAAGCCTTCCTACACTGTAAATGAACCGTGAGTCCTTTGAAACCAACTTTTCATTCACCTTCTGCTCCTTCCTCCCCACGAGTCTAGGAACAACCCTGCCCAGTGTTAACCATTATCTTTCAGTCCCTGCATCTGGTGCAGGGTGGTTTGGCTCCTAAGAGTCCCACCGGGCCCCTTAGGATTGCATTTCCCTGCAATTGACTGGGTTGGCTCACGTGACCTCATGTGGGCTAGTGAGAGCTCTCTGGACTTCCAGGAATCCTGGCTCCTACTTTAACCCACTGAAGATTGTTGTGAAGGTTGCTGTGGCTGCTGCCACATGTGGCTGAGACAGAAGCCAGCAGTGAAGATGGCAGAGCCCAGAGACAATTGCCACGGATTCTGGTGGTACCAAACCAGTCATCCCTTTGGCCATCAGAGCCAAAGTCAGTGCAGATGTTTTTATAATGTGAAGGAAAAGACATCAATCTGAACAAATTTATTTGTCAGGTTTTCTGCACTCCTTTTGTTAGTTTGTTTGCTTTGTCTGGGGGCCACAGCCAGTGGTCCTCAGGGCTTCCTCCTGGCTCTGAATTCAGGCATCACTCCTAGCAGGGATGGGGACCCTCTAAGGTGCCGGAGATAGAGCCGGGGTTGGAAGCATGAAAGGCAAGTGCCCTTCCTGGCTGGTCTCTTGACTTCAGGTGGGACACTTTGTCCAAACGAAGGATGTGAAGACCACAGTTCCTCATGTCTCTTGCAAACAAAGGAGACCAATGGAACTGACCTGGATCTCTTCCCAGCAAACTCACTCCTTGTTTCCAGACCTTTCCAGAGGGTAACATCAGCTGTCACTACTGCAAACTGGCTGATGCAAATGACCGGATGTGAGCACAGTTATAGTATTCATGGTGTAAAGATATTTTTAATCATAGGAACAACCTCTGGTGGGGGAGGGGCTTAGAAATGCTAGGGTCCAACCCAGGGCCTGGCACAACCATAGAGTCTACCTTAAGATAAAAATAGATTGTTTTTAAACTACTGCTAAACTCAGTGAATCTGAAGAAACGAACTTGTTCCCAAAGCTTAAGCTGAATTCACTGTAATCATTCTCACGGTGGGTTAATGTGACGTATTATAAATATTTTAAAATTTCTCTGTATTATGATGTTTTGGCATAGAAAAATAGACTTTTGGGGCTGAAGCGATAGTATAGCGGGGAGGGCATTTGCC